GTGCACCCCTGTGGTAGACCACCAAAAAAAGTTTTCCAGTCTAAACAGCCATTAAGTACAAGTTATTCTGGAGATATTTATAAGCAGAAAACTTCATGAGTAGAAAACGGGACCACCAAAACTGTCCCCATCAGATAAACAGTACTTAAAACTTTCATCTTTGACAGAGAGGAGAAAATCAAGCTCAACTGTTGCTCCAGATCTAGAAACATCCACAGGTTTTTCTGTCCAACCTTCAACTGTGAGAGGACGACTCAGCACTAAGAGTCTGAAAGGATGTGTAGCTCCCAAGAAAACTCATTGAGAAAAGAAGACAAAAAACAAGAAAATTTGCAAAGCAAACCATGAAGCTGCTGAGAACAATGGACTGACCACCCCAGAGTCCAGACCTCAGCATCACTGAATGTGTTTGGGATAACTTGGTTTGTGAAAAGCAAAAATGTGACCAACTTCTAAGATTGAACTTTGGAGCTGTGGAAAAATATCCCTACAAATTTGAGTCTCCTGAAAAGAAAAGAAGCTGTAATACAGGCAAAGAGTGGACACAGTAAAGACTGAAAGAATTCAAACGTGATGTTATATTTAGTCGTTGAGGCTTCTGTGTGTAAATATGTTTTCTGTTTTTTTCTCTGATGCTGAAAAATTAATAACTTGCGCTTGGCTGTTTTAATCTGAAATTAAAAAAAGAAAAGGGTGGTCTCTGACTTTTGCACAGTGTTGCAGAACGACATCTGTTTAAAAATCGGATAGGTTCTTATGGTATTACTGCAGTTCTGTTTTTGTTAGGTAATAAATCGAGAAACAGGAGAAAAAAGAGAGTAAAGCAGTAATAGCTGGTAGACGGAAGAAGACAGGAAGGTAATGTTGAAGGGGGTGGGGTGCAAAGGTTTCCCATCCAGCCGTCTCTGTCTGTCTAAATATTTAATGAGCAAACACATTTCTGTTCTCTCGCATCTTCACTACATGAGCCGGAACGAAGAAGAGGAGGGAGGAGGAGGATGAAGAAAAGCTTTCCTTGCAATAATAACCAAGCCGTCTGCCTCTGTATCCAGGCGAACTCACTCACACTCCAGTGAGCTCAGGAGTGTCTAGGACTCATTCCAGTGTTATTTGGGTTGTGAGGCCGACTGTACAGCTGAGCCAAGAGTGTCACTAAAGATTGAAACCTAAAAAAACATTTTTATTAAACATGATCAGTTTTGGTTCGCGTCCACACACGGCTCTAGAGAAGCTCTGGTAAATGAATCTGTGAAATTCAGCATTTCCAAAGTTTGGAGTCATTTGCCATATTAATGATTTTCTGTTATTTTGCATATAATAAGAAAGGGTATTCTTAAATGTTTTGTTCAATATTTCAAGAATTATGTGAACAATAAATAATTCAATGATGAAATACATACTGTAATGGTCTATTTATTCATTTTTGTCAACAGCCTTGAGATTTGATCACTTTTGAAATATCATTTTAGAATCTTCTACAACTCTGTTCATCATTTTGGACTACAATTTTATATGTTTATCTGCCACCACATTATTTTATAATTGTTAGAACATTGATTATAAAGTTTTGAATAGTAAGGCATAACATTATGACCACCTCCTTGTTTCTATGCTCATTGTCCATTTTATCAGCTCCACTTACTATATAGGTGCACTTTGTAGTTCTACAATTACAGACTGTAGTCCATCTGTTTCTCTGCATACTTTGTTAGCCCCCTTTTACCCTGTTCTTCAGTGGTCAGGACCCCATGGACCCTCACAGAGCAGGTACTATTTGGGTGGTGGATCATTCTCAGTACTGCAGTGACACTGACGTGGTGGTGGTGTGTTAGTGTGTGTTGTGCTGGTCTGAATGGATCAGACACAGCAGTGCTGCTGGAGTTTTTAAACACCTCAGTGTCACTGCTGGACTGAGAACTGTCCACCAACCAAAAATATCCATCCAACAGTATCCTGTGGGCAGCGTCCTGTGAGCACCGATGAAGGACAAAAGGATGACCAACACAAACTGTGCAGCAGCAGATGAGCTATCGTCTCTGACTTTACATCTACAAGGTGGACTGACAAGGTAGGAGTATCTAATAGAGTGGACAGTGAGTGGACACAGTGTTTAAAAACTCTGTGTCTGATCCACTCGTACCAGCGCAACACACACTAACACACCAGCACCACGTCAGTGTTACTGCAGTGCTGAGAATGATCCACCACCCAAATAGTACCTGCTCTATGAGGGTCCATGGGGGTCCTGACCACTGAAGAACAGGGTAAAAGGAAGCTAACAAAGTATGCAGAGAAACAGATGGACTACAGTCTGTAATTGTAGAACTACAAAGTGCACCTATTTAAAATGGACAATGAGCGTAGAAACAAGGAGGTGGTAATAATGTTAAGCCTGACTGGTTTATATGGACCATTCTACCGAATTAGAACTGCAGTCCCACTGTAAAAAACAAAAACCAAAACAAAACTGTAAGTATTCTGATCTTAGACATTTACAAGGTTTATATAATGATCTATTTAAACTGAAGGCATTAACGGAGACGGTAATGAGCAAAATATATTCAAAATCATTATTTATACGGTACTTTCTATTGGAAGGCGGCTGTCCCAAACCCTAACCCTAACCCCTAAATTTACACTTGTGAAAATAATATTTACATTTTTCAAAGTTGTTTAAAGATCTTTTTATTTCTTCAAGTTAAGTTGAAAGATCTAGATTTAGCATAAGTTTAATTTTTCGATAAATAAATGTAAAAAGTTTGTTCTATGTTTTAATGTCACTACCGAAACACAGAGCTTTACTCCACAGGTGGAGCCATATTTTAACCACACCCCTGTATTTCAGAGCAGGAAGTGAGGCTGCATCCCTGTCCCTCATGGCCACATGATGAGCAGTTAGATCCCGTTGTTAATGTATTCCAAAGTCTGAAATCAGTGTGTAACATTAAGAACTGTCATTACACACATATGTTCTGCAATCAAATAAACTTCATAAATAAACAGCTGTTCAAAGCCGTGTTTGCTAGTCATATACTGGCTAGTGTTTTTGAGTTTTGCTTAAAATTAGCTAAAATTGTCACTAACGAAACAGTCACCACTGAAACATTTGGTAAAGTTTCAGAGGAGCTATATATATATATATATATATATATATATATATGTATAATATTTATTATTATATATCACTGCTGTCGAAGAAAACCTCATATCTCCATTTTTGTAGTTTTTCAATTTTTGACATAATTTGAAAATGTCTGTTGCCCTTTACATTGTGTGTCTGTCAAGTATGAACAGAGCTGTAGATGATTCCAAACTGACACTAAAAGCTAAACAAAGTTATAATAAAATAAATATATCCAGAATATATAAAATAGAGGATGTTACTACAGCAAAGGGGGACAAACTCCCTATTAATGCTCATGAGAACAAACGCTGTATGAGCAGGTGTTCACAAACCACTGGAAATGCTGATGTCACAAATAACAACATGAGTACGATGCTTTTCCACCAATCAGATTGTGTCGTCTGCTGTATAATAATCCACATAAAAATAAACATACATGAAAATATATGCCCCCAGTGCCCCTTCAAACCCACTCACTCACTCAAGCGTACAAACACACATGCTCTAAAAGATGAAATCAGCCCTAGTGAGAGGCGATCCCATCCATCTGGAAATGGGTGGGTCTCTCTCTCTCTCTCTTTCTCCCCCCCCCCGCCCCCCTCTCTCTCTCTAATGTCTGGTTCACAATTGGGACTTGGTGGAGAGCTGTGATGTCATATGCTCTCAGCCCCTGTGAGCCGCCCCTGCCCAGGCTCGCTTCATGACATCATCTCTCCTGGCCCTGCCCTGCGTCTGGGACTGCAGAGTGGGACACACCCACCCACTCAGCACAAACGAAACAGCCCAGGCCAGAGCAGCCACCCAGGACAGCTTTATAGCTGAGCCCACCAGGCCACAAGCTTCCACCAGCACTAAACTGCAGGGACAGATCATAGGCAATTCTGCTAAACCTGTTTGTGTCAAAACAAATTCTATCTGCCCGTGACAGCAGGGCCACGTATTTCACCACGAGTATCATCAGATATGCTAACGCAGCTAACAATGAATGGAAGCTAGTATTATATTACTTGCATTTTACTTTTATTCACTGTTAGCAACATTTGCATTTCTGACTGAACTATTCCTTCAAATCGGTGCTCAGTGTGAACAGCGAAATGTGACCCACGAGTGTGAATTTTTGTTCCTAACTCGTCTCTCTGAAGGGTTTCTGAGTGTGTTTTAGTTTATACACAGTGCATAGAGAGTGTGACAGAAGACCACTGGATTCTAGAGTGTTCCATGGCACAAAGAGTTAATCAGTGGCACCCTCTGCTGGTTATAAAGGGTATCGCATGAAAATGCAAGCTTGAAAAGTGGCTTATGGGCATTTTACTGAGTCATATACAGTAATATAAAGACATATAAAGACTCTTGTATACACTGTAAACAAAATCACTGTCAAAGTGCTGTAAAATTCAAATGTCAATACCTGTTTTTCTGATGCATGTAAATAAACCATACATGCATTGTATTTAAATGGATTTAAGCATTTGCTGTTGTTCATTTACAGAAACACATAATGCATTTTTAATTCTTAAAAACAAATGATCACCTTTATTTCACAGACATCTGCATTTTTTAATGGTTTTTACTGTTATTATTATGGCAGAATGCTGTCAGAATAACTAGGTAAACTAGTGAAAGTATTGAATTGCAATAAAAGGTAGGATTCCTAATAAATTAAATGACTGTAATTTTACAGATTTTTACCATCATTGAGATAACATACTTTTACTGTTAATTTAATTATATAACTTAATTACCATCTGCCTAAACAAACCCTGCAGCCAAATTTAGTTCAGAAATACACAGTTTATTTGCTTCCTAAATGAAGTCAGGTTGGAACCAGTTAGAAAATCGATGCTAACAAGTATCATAAAGGAACATCTGTACTCACATCTCATCGACCTTGTCCTGAGGCCCCTGCACCTGCCCGATCACGGTGCCCTGTCTGGTGTTCTTCACCCAGCCGTTTACCCCCAGCTTCTTCCCCTGATCTTCTGTGTACTGCACACAGCACAGTCACACAGGCCCTGAGACTCTCACACTTATTGGCTCGTTCAGCCAATTTAAAGACTAAACAGTCAAGCTGGACAATATATCTTACATATCAGTTTTAGCAATATTTTTAGTGATATAAGTGATACAGAGTGACTATTATATCCATAAAAATGTCTATAATTTAGTTCTATTTTGTTCCCATTGCTCACCTGACAGTGAACTGCACTGTATGTAATGTGTTGGGTGCTTCGGATTGTTTTGAAAGAAAAGGTCAAAAATCCATATACAAATTAATAAATCGTAAGTTTTCTTTCCTGAAATGTTCTTTCTGTCTGGTTAACGATTACATTACTGCATGAGGATCCATCTGGTGTAATTTTAATAAAAGAAAAAAACAAAACAGTCCAACCAAAACAAGCTATGTCATTTTAATAAGACACTCTTTTCATATAGCACAGAGCTGCCCAAAGTGTGGCCAGCAGGCTTAAGTTGGCCCATGAGGATGTTTAATTTGTCCCACCCCCTCACCCAATGAGAGAACAAGAAAGATTTTAATAACAAAATATAGCGAAACTTAAAAAAAACATTTTAAAAACTCGATTTGAAACCTCTCTCTACTTGTGTATTGTTAGGTGTTTTGGGCCCTCGAATCACCAAAAACATTGCACTTTGGCCCCCAAGATAAAAAGTTTGGGCACCCCTGGTATCAAGGAAGGTATGAGCTCATTAATCGATTAAAATTGACTAAATTGATACCCTGATACTGTGACATATTGAGAAAGTACTGTTATACTGAATTTTATCAATACCACCCAGCACTACTTGAGCTTTATTTACAGAAGAAACACCTTTTCAAATATATTTTTCTTAAAAGTAGAACAGAACAGTGAATCCAGCTTTGTGTAAAGAATTATACACAAAGCTCTTTCTTTAAAAATAGTTTCGATGCTGCTGTACTATTCCAGGGTAGTGGTAAGAGTAAGACTGTACCAACTGTACCTTAGTATAGATTAAATATCTTCTTACCATTCTGAAGCACACACCTGAAACATAGAAAAAAAAATTAATCAATTTTTATACATCAAGATACACACACACACACACAAACACACACACACATGAGAGGTCAGCTCAGCTTAAAATGATATAGTAACTGATTACATGGCTTTTTTGAGTTGACTCAACTTGAGGACACCAGAGTTCACCCAACTCAAACTACTTAATTGAGTCAAAAATTCTCCCAGCTACTGTTTCTAGGTCTGCATCTCAGTCAGATAAACAAAACTGAACTTTTTTCTGAATGGTTTTTTTCCCATTTTCCCCACTAGCTGGCACTGCTTCTATCACACAGTCCCATCTGCCAGGTTTTCCTCTTGGGCTTCTGGATATGGACAGCTATGGTATTGCTGGGATTCAAACTCACAACCTCCTGATGTTGGTATGGATTATTAGACAGTTCCAGCACATGAGACTACACCATGCTTTAAAGTTAAAACAACATATTTTCTCTGACACCAGCGATACAAGTCATAACTGTTTATACTAGCAAGAATTTAAATTCGAGAGATCTGTAATGCAGTTTCTACTAGTAAAAACTAAGTTTCTGGATATCTATGATGAAATTTTTACTAGTCATAATGTCAAATATACATATCTATAAAGCTATTTTGACTAGTCATACTGTCAGGATGACATATCCATAAAGTAATTTTGACTAGTCTTATGATACCATTGATTTACATGGAAATACAATTATATATATCTACAATTACATTTGTATTAGTAGACATTCTAAATACACTTCAATTTAGACTAGTAAAACATCCAGGTCCACATATCCATAACTGAATTTTGACTAGTAGAAATATTCATTCAAGATATCTTTAACTTAGTATGACAAGTTATAATCTGCATTAGAGATATGTATAGTTTCAGGTCTGTAAAACAGTTAAAGATATCTAGAATTTTCTTTTGACTAGTAAGAATAATATTATTTATATCTAAATGTAGAATTGTATTTGTAGTCAGAATGCAGTCTTGACTAGTAATAACTACCTTTTAACTGTATATGTAAGAAACAGATATCTGTAATTAAGATTTGGCTAGTATGAATTACATTGGAAAGAGTAATAATTAAAAATAATATATCTAAAAAGTTAAGACTAGCCATATCTTCACAGATGTCTTCAAATGATGCTATTGAGATTTAAAATATAGTTTTAGAGATCTACAATTTTAATTCTTACTAATCAAAATTATGTTTCAGATCTTTCCAGTGGTTTAATGAATACATAAACAACTATGAGATTTGCATTTCATGCATATTTATGAGAGCGACATTAGGCGAAAAAAAGGGTGGTATGTGTGCAGCAAGTCAGAGAAGGGCACAAGATATAAGGCAGTCGAGAAGGAGAGGAATGAGTGACTTTTATTTTGAAATATAGTCTAAGGAATCTGCACTAAGCATGTGACAGAGAAAAGAGGTGTGTTGTCTTCCACAAATTAGCATCTGTTGAATATGAGTTCTGACTAGAAAGAAGTGTTTTAGATTAATTCTGTCTGAAATGAAATTTATAACTATTTAGAACACCAATTTGACTGATAATTACAACAAGTAACATTTTCATAATGGAGATCTGTAATATTTAGTGTTACAAGTAAAAAGGTATATGTTGATATCTGTGATTACATTAAAGAGATTTGTAATTCAACTAGCAAAATAACATTTTTACAAGGGGAAATATATATATATATATATATATATATATATATATATATATATATATATATATATATATATATATATATTTCACTACTTCAAATTAATAACAGGTAGCTTATCTATAATTCTTATTCTTACCAGTCAGAGTTATATTTTGACTGGGCAGAATTACGTCTTGAAATTTTTGGCTAAAACGGCTTGCCATACTTTGACTGGTCTATGTGTGCTGAATGTGAATAGACCTTGTTCAGATGTTGCAGATCGTGTGCTGAATACGAAGCTAAAGCTTCTTATTTGACTTTTATACAGGCGTCTGAAAGTATCTGCTTCACCATTTAAGGTGGAATAGAAAATCTGAATAAGTGACCAACTTCAGTCTTGTCTTTATCATCAGGTTTTGGGTGCATTTTGATTTTTTTTAACATGCATCCAACCTCTCGGTGGTGACGTGACATTACTTAGAAACATGTATCCATGTTTAGCTCTCAGCATTTGTCACCGGCTAACCAGCAGCGAAGCACAGCAGCCGTTAAACTCAAGAGCCCCACTTAACCAAAACTGACCTAACCTGACCCTGCAGTTACCGGCCACCTCAGCTCAGCAAGCGAAGCGCTGCTTCTATTTTTGGAGGCGGAGCCCGCGAGCTGCGCACGCGACTGAAGTCTCGCCCACCTACCCTGAACATCGCCGAATATTTCGAAATCTACGGATGAGTATTTCCCCCCGGAGGACATGGCGAAGAGCAGCGGAAAGGAGATTAACACGAGCAGAACGCAGAAGCCGCTCAAACAGCTCAAACTGAAGGCAAACATAAACAGAGCTCTGTCGCCCCCGGTAGGCTGATCCCGCGTTTCATCGCGATATATCCCACACAGATCCCCTTACAGGCCCGGTTATATTTTTAGCTAGGCTCAAATGTTCAAATGTAATAGCTGGAGCTGTGATTAAAAGATTCTCCTCAGACACAACCATGTTAACCATCCATTACAACGTGCAGTCTTATATACAGGTGAATATTATCTACTCTTAAATGAGTAGAGGTGAGAGAACTATGCTGAAAAGGTTTGGGCTGGGTGCTCTGAAGGCTTAGCAGTGTTCCAGCTGCTGGGATACTGCACATTTGAGTGCTTTGCCAGCTCTAAAACACCTTTAGGAGACTAGAAATGAAGTGATGAGTAGATGAAGTAGTTGGAGATGGGAAACACTGTTAAACACGCTCAGATTATGGCTGCAGTCTCACTACAGTGCAAGTTGTTCAACAGCCTCTTGTGCACCAAGTACACTTTTTGAAAAGATGGCTCTTCAAGGGTTGTTTAGTCAAGACAACGGTTCTAGACAGAACCATGGACACTCAAAACACTTGAAAGATTTAAGGGTTCTTTGCAGGGTGAAATGGTTTAGATTAATGGAGAATGTGCTGTAGATGACCAGGGTTCTATATATCACCAAAAAGGGTTCCACTATTGTTACAAACCAAAGAATGCTTTCTTGTTACTATATAGAACCCTTTCTGTTAAGAGTGTACAGTAACCTAAACCAATAGTCAAGTGAAGTTAGAGGTAAAAGTGGCCTAGCCCAAAAAAACCCCAATAAAAAACAAAAAACAAAAACAAAACAAACAAAAAAAAAACACTGGGAGTAAAAAAAAACATCATGGCTCCATACTGGAGTACGGAGTTCTGAGCAAGTTTATTAGGTGCTTCTTTTTTCCTGTTTTGGGCCCTTTGGGTTTAAAATAAAAGTACTTTTTGTGCAGTACAGCCTAACCTGCATGCCACTCACCCTCCTGATGATGCTGAGCCTCACACTATTTAATCATAGACATTGTGCCGCCTGCCTCACAATTCACTGGGCTCTTCTCACATTCATACTAACAGATCATCATTATAGGCTTCTAACAGTCGTCAGCGATGTTTAAGGATGTAATTCTCTCTCCTTTTCACTGTGATACGCTTCTAACTGTAGTCACTGGTTTTCACTGGTAACAGTGGCTGATTTTCATGGATCTGTTTCTCACTGTTACTCTGATCGGCCTCTAACAGTAGTCACTGGTTTACATTGGTTAATCTAAATTCTTCTGTCCAATGACAACTCATATTTAATGTCATATATTAATTGTAAAATCTTATCCTCTATTCATATTGCTCTTGTCATGTTATTGTTTTGCTATCCGGTGGGTTCCCCTTTTGGGTCCTGGTTCCTCTCAAGTTGTCTTCCTCTTGCTCTTAGGGAGTTTTTCCTTGCTACTGTCACTCTTGGCTTGTGCACTGGGGCTTGGACCTGGATTTTCTGTAAAGCTGCTTTGTGTCAACGGCTGATGTGAAAAGCGCTATGTAAATACACTTTGACCTGACTAATACTTAAAAATGAGAAAAGATGAAGGTTCCATACTAAAACAGTCCACCACCAAAACAGTGTGAAATTAATCCTACATTAAAACCCGGGAAGTCAGTGTGAATGACTAAAGTGGAGTAAAATTACATAATAAACTTTATGCTCACTTAAACCATTTACAATTTACTGCATTGTTCTGTAATGATTCACAAGTGACAAATCATTTTGAAATCGGAGGAATCCTTTTGAATCACCCTGTATTTTACACTGAAAACTAATAAAAAATAAATAAATCCTAAATTGAATTTAATGCATTGAATTTTTTACTTGTGGCTTACCTCAAAATACTGGCTTTGATTTTGCAATGAACAGCTTTAGTCAAGTATGAAATAATCCCTCACCGCTGATGTGCTTTCTTCAGTTGAACTCCATCTGCTGGCGTTAAGTATTAGCATGCGTATGCATCCAGAAATTGCTTTGTTGTATCAGTATTCTCTATTATCAGTTGTACTTAAAAGCCAATATTGGGGCTGCTAGCAATATTGTATTGGTAATGGTGCAAGGCAAGTAAAAGTATTATGATTTGAAATATTCAGAGACGTACAAATCCATCAGAATTTTACTTAAAGCAACGCTATGTAAGTTATGGCGATTTGGAGACCCCTCTGGTGGCAATGTGTAATTGCATGCAACGTGTGGAAGAAAATGTTTAACATTGGTTGTACTTCGGACAGCTTCCCCATAACAGATGAATCTGATGATTGTGAGTAAGTTCAAAGAGTATTCAAAAAGAACTATGTGTATAATCTACTATTGTCATCATATATTTCTCAGTATAATGTTGTTTTTGCATTTGACTTGTAAACATCTAGCCGGATATTCTTTTTTGAGTCTGTGCATGTGACATTAATACGTAAAGATGTATGACATGGTCCGAAAAACTCCCAACATGACGACTCTGACTTTTAAATTATTATTGTGACTCACAGCAGCGCATGCACACCATATTTTAGCTTGTATCCTGACTAATGCTAGTTTTATCAATTTTAACCAAACATCATATTTAGTGCAATTTTATTTACATGGAACTGAGAACATCTGGCCTAACTAGTTACTACACACCTATGCTGCACAAAAATTGAGCACGTATTTTGATACATACACAAATCATTTAGCATTCGATTTGCATTTCAAAACAGATGCAGTGGCAAGTTCAGATTGATGCACTGTTGCACGTTTTCACTCTTCATAACACTACTGGTGTGTATGGCTTCTACTGATCAGGCTGCAGTCGCCCATCTGCAGCTATTTGTTTATCTCTGTGGAACATGATGTTGTTTGGCAAATGTTTTGAGCGGTGCGATTCGCTGTATGTCAACTTGCCCCTCATAGATGAGCCCGGGCCCAGAGCGCCAGCGCTGCGTGGAGTGATCCAGCCTGAGCTCAACACACAGCTGAAAATGGAGCGAGGTTAGAGATCTCCATGCACCGTGACCCCATCTTAGGATTTCACATCTCACAGCTGTGCAGATGGGTGATCTAGGAAAGACAGCAGTGCACACATGCACACACACACACACACACACAAACATTTGTTGATTTGCACTGAGCCATTAATGCCCAAAAGGCAAGACTCAATAATCCCTAAGCACTGTCCACACAGAGAGAGATCAGATTCGCAACACTGCACACACAAACACACACACACACACACACACACACACCAGATGCACTGACAGACATACTGTACACACTTAAGACCAAACATGAGCACACACACTCGCACACTGCGATTCAGCTCAGTGGAAAGCTTGCAAGCTCAAATATATATAAGTAAACTATATAAATGAATAAACTAATGAGAGCTGGTAATTAACACTCTGTTAACAATCTGCTGATAGCGCTAATAGATTTATATCACAGTAGGGGGGATACCTCAGCACTCTCAAACATCCTCTCTCTCTCTCTCTCTCTCTCTCTCTCTCTCTCTGTTTAGTTAAAGCGCTCAGTGATTTGGATAAGGGCTTTGGTAAATCCTCTGCTAAACTGCCCCAGATTTTTTTTTTCATGAGCAAATATTGGATTTGGCTTCTCTATAGCTACTTGAATCTGTAATACAGCAAGAACATTATTAACATACAGTCGTGTGCAAAAGTTTGGGCACCTGTGATGCAAAAATTGTTTATTGGTTTTCTAAGTAGAAAAATAAAAACATGTTCTCAACACTTCTGCACACTTTGATGCAAATGTACTGTTTATTTGCTGAACCTAACATGCTGGATAAAATAAAAATAAAGCATAGAATGTGCAAAAGTAATGGCACACTTTGTAAATTATGTTCAACTCAGCAAATAAACTGAAATTGTGCACAAAAATTTGCAGAAAAAAATCCATATTTAAGTATCTCTGTACAATTTTTTAAAATTCAAATTGAAATGCATTACTGAGACTAAAATTTGGTGTGTGCGTGCTGCTGCGAGTCACACGTGCAGGCTCAAAAATAAGGTCCGGCTTGATGTTTAGGTCTAAAATGCAAAATCAACATTACACTCATTAAAATATGATGACAATAGTGGATAATTCACTCACATCCTCAGAGAATACGTCCTTAGCCAAGTTTTGACTGAGTTCTCTTTGAATATTCTTTCAATGAGCTCACAATCATCCGCTTGGGGAAGGGGTCTGAAACACAACCAGGTCTCCAGATCCCAGTGTACCTTTAAGTTAATTCTCTGTAGAGGATACAAAATCAACAAAACATGTAAACTGACCTGGGGTGTTCAAACATTTGCAGACAACTGTATATTATCAGACAAACAGCAAAGTGATCTGGAGGAAATGCTGTAATGCAGTAACACCTTCCTGCTGAAAAATGTGCACCGCCTCTTGTGGGAATATTTGTTTTGATAGAAACAGTTGTTACCTCATAGGAATTCTGGGATGTGGAACAAAACACAGCTGAATACTCGCCGGCAGAGGCGAAGCAAACAACACTAACATCTACACAGTCTACTGCCAACTGCTGATAATAAAAAAAAAGCTTGACTCTTATTGAACAGGAGTGAATCCACTATTAAGTGCAACTTTGAGTCTCACTGTACTGGCCAAATTCACGACACAATGATTTTCCTGATGGCCACTTTTTATTAGTTGTTCAGGGTCTGCAAACATTGATGAAAAGCTTTATCTACTGTTCTGATTTCATAGTTCAAGTCATGCACTTTGTATGGACTGTGTATTTTAAGTTTACTGTTTTTTTAATTTCATTTAGTAGATATATATATTCTGGGAAATTCTATTTCTTATTCATAGTAAGGTGCTATACAGTGTGAGCACAATCATAATACAAACATATAATAAGCTTGTGAAAAATATCTACATACAGCCTTGAACACAAAAATGTTTTCTTGTTCTTCAAAATAAAATGTCTGTTTCTATAAAGCTTATATCAAATTAATCAGTGTTAGAACAAAAATACTTGTGTTCAATCCAGGTATGAAGG